TAATTTATTATTATTCCTCCTCCTCCCCCTCCTCTCCTCCTCCCCCTGCCGCTCCTCCTCCTCCCTCCTCCCGTCCTCCCATTTCCGCTCCTCCTCCCCACCCCCTTCCTGCCCCTCCCCCTCCCCTCCTCCTCCTCCTCCTTCTTCTTCTTTTAAGATTTATTTGTTGTTTATGCACACAGAACTGGGGTACAAGTCAGAGGTGCAGGGCAGTGAGAGGATTCACCAGAGACAGAGTGGCAGATTAATGAAGTACACTGCTGAGGGGAGCAGAGGGTGGGTCAGGAGAGGTCTGCCACACCATGTGGGTCACCCCCTGGCTGGGGATCAAACTCGTGCTGAAGTGGTTTCGGATAGATTTGTAGTGCTGCGCTTTAAGCCATTCAGCCACCAAGGAGGGCCGGATTTAGTATTTCTAATAGTTTTTACTCTAATCTTTCAGACTTTTTAGGTAGTATTATGTCATGGTGACCATTTCATTTCTTTCTTTTCCATGTAGATGCTTTTAATTTTTTTTTCTTCCCTAATTTATATGACTAGAATTTCCAGGACTGTATTGAATACTAGTGACTAGCCTGGGCATCCAGATTAGAGGAAATCTTCCGGGTTTTTTTTCCACCATTGAATATGGTGAGAACCGTGGGTTTGTCATCTATGATCTTTATTATGCTACTGTACCTGTCTTCTACAACCATTTTTTTTTTGAGAATTGTTTGTAATAAATGAATGTTGAATCTTGCCAACTGTCTTTTCTCTACTTATTGAGATTTTTTGGTCTTCTTTTTATTTGGTGGACCGTATTAATTGATCAAGTTACCAAGCTGAATAATTTTGCTGCTCATTGATCTTAAGAGAATTAATCATTATTATTTAGAGTGAATATAATTACAATTGTCTAAATGTGGGAGAAAAGAATAATTGGATTCTGAATGGCATTTGAAAATGTTATGCTACTGAGTTTTGAAGATGAAGAAAAGGACGTGGTTTATGGAATGCAAGTAGCTTCTAGAAAATTTAACACAAACAAATACATTAACCTGGGATTGTCCAAAATGAATCTGATTCTGTATACATCTTTCTTTTAGCCCAGTGAAACACATTTCAGGCTTCTGTTCTCCAGAAATGACAGGGCATTACCTTTGTTAAGTTTAAGCCACTAGGATAGTAATGAGTTAGTAATAGTAACTACATATATACGTATACACACACATACATATTAAAATTTCGTTCAAGTGGCCCTCCCTGGTGGCGCAGCGGGTTAAAGCACTGCACTAAGAAGCTTAAGCCACTTCCGCATGAGTTCGATCCCCGCCTGCCCCGGAGGTGACCACATGGCGTGGCAGACTTCTCCTGACCTGCCCGCTGCTCCCCTCAGCAGTGTACTTTGTCGATCTGCCTGTTCTGCTCCCCACTCTGTCTCTGGTGAATCCTCTCACCCTCCGCACCTCTGGCCTGTACCCCAGTTCTATATGAATAAATAAATAAATCTTTAAAAAAAAATTTCGTTCAAGAAAACTGAGTTTAAGCCTTTCAAACTTGAACGAATTTTAAATCTTTGTTCTTTTAGCTTCCTCTAGATAAAGACCTTTTATGTTGAAATACTACATTAAGTAGAATAAAATTTAAGTGAATTTGGAGTTCTTTTCCATTAGCTGATATAGGGAGCTCTCCATTGTTAAATATAAATATGGTTCTGGCTTTGAGATCTTTGAGGCATTAAGTTAAGAAAAGTAATTCCTTTTTAAAATATTAAAATTAAGGACATCTACTACTTAAATTCTTGGGTCTAAATTTCTAAATCATTTAGTTCATGCTAATTTAAACATTCAGTCTTATCATTTCTAGTCCTTCCAACTTCTGTCCAGTTTCCCTGCTTCATTAGAAAGGGAATAAAAAAATGAGCCTGTGTGTACATATATGTGTATGATTGTGATTATTTTTTTAAAAAGGCTGCGATTATTTTTTAAAAGGTAGATAAATATGTACACAAATATACACTCACAGAACTTTTTCTCTTAGATGTTTTCTTAGTCCTAACAATAAATTTCCACCTATGTCACTGACTCCTCACAATATCTATCAATTTGTTTGTCATCCCATCTTACTTTGAGTCTCGTGGGGATTTTTTTTTAAAGATTTATTTATTTGTGCATACAGAACTGGGGTACAGGCCAGAGGCTCAGGGGCGGTGAGAGGCTTCACCAGAGACAGAATGGGGAGCAGAACAGGCAGATCCACGAAGTACACTGCTAAGGGGAGCAGCGGGCAGGTCAGGAGAGGTCTGCCACACCATGTGGTCACTTCCGGGGCAGGCGGGAATCGAACTCATGCGGAAGTGGCTTTAACTTCTTAGTGCAGTGCTTTAACCCGCTGTGCCCCCAGGGAGGGCCTCGTGGGAATTTATTTTTAAAATCCACATAGCATAACTTTAAGTTTGGTGTATATTTTCTTGAATTACATATAAATAAAATCATGCTGTATGGAATCTTAATGTTGTATGACTCCTTTAATTCATCAAATTTTACTTCTAACTATGTGTACGTTATTTTTTATAGGATGTAGTCATACTCCAATAACTTGTTTAAGTAGTTCAGAAATTATTTAAATAACCATGGCTGAGGGTAGGATCTAGAAGACAGGTAACCAATTCACACTTAGGGTGGGTGATATGTCCTCATGAATGAGCCTCAGAAACACAGTGTAGTGATGGTAGCTGAATACAGTGTCTGAAAACCCCAAAGGGCTCAGAACAACTGATCATCATTTGATAATGAATGCATTATGCTAAAGTACTTGGTTCTTAGGAATGTGTAGTCTAAGTGCTAAATTTAAGATTTTTGCTTCACTTTAAGTTGCTTAAGTAAAAGTTTAAGTCCCTGACATTAGCCTTCTGATAGTGAGACATCCTTTTCAAAATACAGCTATCTGGAATAAAAATATTAGCAGCTGTATGACACAGCTACTAGCAATACTCCCAAATAAGGGTCTGGGCTACTTCTTCCCATAATATTCACTCATTCAGAAAGCCCTGGGTAACCAAGATTACTGCCTCGGACTGACTTTGCAGCTCCCATCCTGTGTTCTAATTCTTGCTCTTACACTTTGAATTAGTCAATTAAAGAGTGACTAGGTGTGGCCCTAAGCATCCTGCCCTTGGGACTTGAGAAAGACACAGCCCAGGTGTCTGTGCTCCCTCTCTAACCTTGACTTACTATTGGCCATTGGGCAGGCTGTCTACAACCCAGGTCCTGAGATTAATCTTTTATTTTCCCTCAAATTTCCCTGCTGGTTTCTTCATTAATTGCATTTGGTGATCGTTCTCAGAATCATCAGATTTGGCTCAGCCTTAAGTAGGGAAAAATGTGTATGGAACTCTGTGAGTGATGTGTCATGCGCCTAAGTGAGCATGGCAGACATTCCTAGCCATGAACTCTCCACCTGGAAGTTCAGGATAGATGGGACAGATGCCTATTTATGCAGCAGCAGCTAACTGCAACAGCAACTAAAGGACTAAAATTTATGGTTGCTGCTCATTTCTGGCATGTTTTAATATGAAAAACATTAATGAAGAACAGCACTCATGATCATTATCTTATTCAGGTTTATTTCAGATAACTGCATTAGCAAGTAGCTGTGTTGAAGTTGCATTTTAGTGAACTTGCAAGATGAGAAGGACATACAAGTTTGTGCAGAAAAGACCCTGAATCATATGACTGGGCAAAATTCAAACTCTCTTTTGTGTTACCCTTTATCATGATATTGAGGATACATCTGAGCATGAAGAAACTATGTAATCAGTGGTACTGATTTTGTCTACTGTCTCTTTAGTGGTATTGATATATATATATAAGTATATAAAGATTTATTTATGCATGCATGCAGAACTGGGGTACAAGCCATAGGTGCAGGGGTGGTGAGAGGATTCACCAGAGACAGAGTGGGGAGCAGAACAGGCAGACTGATGAAGTATACTGTTGAGGGGAGCAGTGGAAGGGCCAGGAGAGGTCTGCCATGCTATGTGGATCATCTCTCTGGCCAGCCAGCTTTAACCCACTGCGCCTCCAGGGAGGGCCTGGTATTGAAATATTTAAGGGGAGGTACATTATTTAGAGTAGCAGAGGAAACATTTATAGGCAGTATTGTAATTTTTCATGAAGAAACAGGAATGTCATTCAGTAATAACTACACCAGTCAATCCTTAAATATATAAAGCCCTCTCACATGGTCTCCAATATTTCACACTTCAAAGAGTAGATTGGGCAGGCTGTCTACAGGCCAGGTCCTGAATTTAATAAATCTTTATGAAAAATAAATATTTTGCATAATAATAAAGTGTGACTTTAAGTATTATTTGCTCATATTTGAAACATCTTTGATACTAAAATAATATTCAATCTTTTCAAATTTAGCTTTTCATAAAGACTTCTGTGAGGCACATTTGATAGTTTTTGCCAGTGATTATGGTAGGCATTTTGGACACTGAACTGAGTAACAAAATAAGACCGAACACCTATAATAAGATATAATAGCATGTTAAAATCTATATTGTCAGAAATAATCGCTAAGGAAACGAAACATCAAGGAGTGATGGACCCAAACTGTAAAGTGTGGCTTCAGTGTTTTCTCTGCAAATGAAATTACAGTTCCCAACCTTAGTATTTTCCCATATGAATAAAGCCACTCAAGCCTATTCTGTCGGGAAAATTAGAAGAAAAATTATGTATCATTATAGAAGAAATTGTTTTTCAAAAAAATCTCACTCATTTTATGAAGGAGATTCATATTTAAAATATTTTATGATCAAGATTAAAAAATAGGGAAATAAAAATGTACAAAAGGAAAAACCACATGGATCAGAGTAATTTAGTCCCATGATTTACTTATTGTTTAAAGAAGTTGAAATCAAAGGATGGAAATTCCAGAAATTAAATAAGGACAAGAGCTGCTATCATACTCTGGACAGATAATCACAGTTTTTGGCATCAAATGCTTCTTCAGCCTCAGGACAACTGGTCTTTTACAGCTGTCTTTCTAAAGAATGTCTTCAGGGCCCTCTTTATGTCTTTGTTCCTCAGACTGTAGATGAAGGGGTTCAGCATGGGTGTGACCACAGTGTACATCACTGAGGCCGTTGCACTGGAGTGTGAGCTGTGTGAAGCAGCAGAGGTGAGGTACACTCCTACACTTGTACAATAAAATAAGAAGACAACTACAAGATGTGAGGCACAGGTGGAAATTGCCTTTGACTTCCCTTGAACTGAGGAGATTCCACGTATGGAGGAAACTATCTTAGAGTAAGAGTAAAGGATTCCAGCAAGGGGACCACCACCCAGCAGCCCAGCTGCAAAGTACATCACTATGTCATAGACAAGGGTGTCAGAACAAGCAAGTTGGACCACCTGATTGAGTTCACAAAAATAGTGTGGGATCTCCAATGTTTTACAGAATGACAGTCGCAACACCATTAAACTTTGTAACAAGGAATACAGGGCACTCAAGAGCCAGGATACCAGAACCAGCAGCCCACAGAGCCGGGGGTTCATGATGACCGTGTAGTGCAGGGGGTGGCAGATGGCCACAAAGCGGTCATAAGCCATCACAGCCAGAAGGAAGTCATCCAATCCTGCAAAGAGTATGAAAAAATACATTTGGGTGATACAGCATTCAAAGGTTATTACTTTGCTCTGTGTCCGGATGTTCTGCAGCATCTTGGGGATGGTGGTGGAGGTGAAGCAGATGTCAACCAAGGACAGGTTGGAGAGGAAGAAGTACATGGGCGTGTGGAGGTGGGGGTCTAGGCTGACGGCCAGGATGATGAGCAGGTTTCCAAAGAGAGTGATCAGGTACATGGAGAGGAAAAGGCCAAATATGAGAGACTGCAGTTCTGGCTCCTTTGATAATCCGAGGAGAAAAAATGCTGAAGTTTGTGTATTGTTGTCAGTTTCCATGTGGTAGAAGGTACTGCCAGAAAAGAGAAAAATACAGCAATTAATTTGTATACAATTAGTGATAAGTATACCTTCAAGATAAGATATCAACATGTATATTGTTTGTATCAGAGTGATCCTCTTAAAGGGACCTCTGTGCCGTTTTTGATTAGGAATCCTATAGTACTCTGAAGATTTTCCCAAGAGGTTATGCATCCCTAATGTTTAATGAGAATAATTTTCATGTATTTGAAGATTGTAATTTGATACTGACCATCTTTTAGGCAAATAGTATAGGCTCTGAGAAACAAAAGTTTCTATAATCCAATGATGGAGGAAGATAAAAGTTCAAACTTTTCCAGATGATGACAGGTGTTATAAAGAACAAGAAAATATATGTAATGGTGAAAGGAGATGGTGGTGATAATTTTTATTTTGTATTCAGGCAAGACTTGTAGGCAAGGTGACTTTGGAGCAGAGGAGTCAGGATTATCTGGGAAAGTTTGTGGCAGTGAAAAGGCCCCAAGGAAGGTACTTGTTTCCAATTTTAAATTTCTATCAGGTGTTAAGTTGATAAAGGGTATGAACAAGATCTAATATACTCAGATGGTCCCTAAGAGACTGTGATGAGGAGAAAGCTTTCTCTGTCTGGCAGCCTTCCAGTGTTAATTACATCTCCTTGATTACCAGATAACTAGTAAAACAACAAAGCAATGCATTAAAAGAAGGAAGATGATATATTTATCATGTCAAGACACCCTACTGAAGAACATCCCACCAGAAATAAGGGCAAAGGAATAAATCCACAATTTATAACATCTAGTACACAGCCTACAAGTATAAAGGGGATTTTAGAAAAAGACTTATCTTTATATTTATTTTAAAATATTTGGAACCAGAAAATCAAGTTTTTAGTCTCATACCCACCACCTATTATTTTTTTAAATTTGAAGAGCCAGCTGAATGAATCTATATGTTAAAATTCTACCTATAAGAATGGGATAGCTATATCCACTCTGCTAGACTGGCCAACAGATTTAATCAACACATGGTAAAAGCTTGACATAGTTCCTTCCTGCTAGTAAATGAATCATTGCACTTGTGATTGATGAGGCCAATATTTCTTCTTGTCTCATCGATGTCTTCTGTGCTTCCCACAGGTTCCAATTCCATAGCTTTATTTCAGTTCTTTGTCATCTCTTCCATTTATCATCACTGGCATCCCTGCAGCTCAATCATCACTCTGTTCCAAAAGATCTTTCAATGGTATGAAGCTAATCTTTGAACTGTCCATCTTAAGCTCCCTCAAGTGACTGCCAGTAGAGAATGAAGTTAAAATTTTGAGGCTTAAAATATGAGGTTCAACTACTGGTGACCTTTCTACCAGATTCACCCACCTACTGCCTTGCCCTCACCCACATTAATTTCAAGAACATTCCACTTGACTGGCAGCTTCACCTGGTATCACTGTTTCAACACTCAGCATTATTACACACCCGCGTTCCTCTGCTTGGAGGCCCTCCAGCTGCCTGTTTGGGATTTTTTTTACTTGCTCTTCATCTTCAAAATTCACTCCCCTGGTTCAGACTTCATGAAACTTAAAATATATATATATATATATTACCACAGGGAAAGTCCGCTTCCTCTGATACTTGAGATATATATATATATTACCACAGGGAAAGTCCGCTTCCTCTGATACTTGAGATATAGGGCCATCTTCGTGGAATTTTTATTTAACTTGGTGGTTTTTCACATTAGACTGTAAGTATCCAGGAGCATGTAGCAATGTTACACATGTTGCCACTGTGCCCTCCACTGAGATTTGGTTTGATTGGGAGTAGTAGCTTAGCACAGGAAGCATGAAGAAATGTGTTCTCACAGAAATTATCAATGGTTAAACAAAGAGCAGAAGCAGGAAAACAGTAACTTAGGTATGGAGGACATGCTGGGGAAATATATTCATATTCTGAAATCAAGACCCATAGGTATCAGACAATGATCTATAAGAATTAAGCAAACAAAAAGGCACAGGATATCAGAGTACATCCTACACAATACGGATTCATATTAAATTGTTTTAGTTGTATATGAGTGCATAGGGAGTAGGATTTATGTGTGTGCACACAGGCTAGATAACAATGTAAGGAAAGACCACAGACCCATGGCATCTTCAAATTGTTTAACTTGGGTCATTGTGGTAGCTACCTCAGGCCTCTTATGTGATAGTTGTGCATTTCTCTACTACAAATTTATTTCATCACATTCGTTTTTATATGATCATAATGAGTAAGGCTGGACTTGCCTCATTTCTCATTGTGATCCACTTTTCTTTGTTATTCTTGGTTATTGGGTTTTGATATTTTAAGATGCACTCAGTGGGCTCACTCTATCTTGGTCATATTCATTTTCTTACATGGAAAGTCTTCCCCAGATGATATTCTGAAATTCTGCACCAGCCACAATATTTACCCTGTCATCATAAGATTTCTCTCTGAGAATATATACATCTACGCCATTGTTCTCTCCCTTTGCCATTATAATGTAAGATCCAGAGACCTTAACTCTTGCTTCATACCTGTGTGCACTTACATAAAAACATTTTAAGAAATTAAAATTCATAAAAGAAAAGGAATGGTAGGTAGAATAAGATCAGGTTAAATATAGTGTTTCAAAAAACTATTAAATGAAATTGAATAAAAATATGAGATTGAATTCTGAAAGAGAATATAAAAGGTAATAAGCTAATCTTGTTAATATGGATATTTAATTCTGATTAAATTGGCAAAGATATGTAAATGAAAAATACAACAATACAAATTATAAAAATCAGTGAAGGAAACATTCACAAAAGTTATAATTTCAACCTACATAAATGTAAATAGCTTCAAATATACTGATCAAATAGAAAGGCAATCACTAGTTGAATTAAAACAATGTCTTGCACAAGATGGGATATGAGTGCTGTTTTTAAAAACAGACTTCTCAGAAAAATGCAAACTGGTAATAATAATGAAAAACAGATGTGATAAAATGGACCAATATTAAGAATGCAGAAGACCTCTCTCCATTTAAAAGGTAATGAGGATGACACAATATAACTGATGATAGAACCAACAATATGAACTATATAAACTGTCATATATTCTTCCCCAGTACATTAATAGGTACATAAAAGAATCAAACTCAAAATAGCAAAGCTGGTGGAAAATGTCAACTTTTATTTGAAAATAAGGAATCAAAAATAATTAAAACTCAAACTTTAATTAAGGAACTGCACAATTTATAGTGGAGAAACTAAAGAGCTCCAGAGGCCCAAATGAACACAGGCTCAGCAATAATGAAATATTGCAAAATTAATTTTATATATTATTACATCTTTAGCATTTTTCATTAGAGTTATTAAAGAACTTAATTTTATGCAAATGCCCAACAGGAGGAAAGACATTGTGAACTATTCATCTCATTAACTGTTGCTGCCAGGTAATTTCCACTTCCATGTTCTAGATCATTTTGATGAGCAAGACATGCTCAAATTCAACATATCTTAATTTTTTAATGCATGATCTTTCACCTAATGCTCTATTTTACTAATCTCCTTAGCTGCAGAACTCTGGACATGCTAGGAATTACTGGAAGCACTATGGAGTCTCCTGTCCTTTCCTCAGACTCATCAAAATGGACTCCCACTTAGTCACTTGTCATCAATATTTGCACTTCTGAGTCCAGTAAATGCTTTTTATTTTTTAAAATACATGGTACAGAAAGTATTTTTAAAAATGTACTTAAAAAAAAAAAAAAACATGAGGGCCCTCCCTGATGGCACAATGGCGCAGCGGGTTAAAGCACAGCACTAAGAAGCTTAAGCCACTTCCGCATGAGTTCGATCCCTGCCTGCCCCGAAGGAGATCCACATGGCGTGGCAGACCTCTCCTGACCCGCCCGCTGCTCCCCTCAGCAGTGTGCTTCGTCAATCTGCCTGTTCTGTTCCCCACTCTGTTCCTGGTGAATCCTCTCACCCTCCGCATCTCTGGCCTGTACCCCAGTTAATAAATCTTTAAAAAAAAACAAACAAACATGAAATACAGTAACAAGAGCATGAGCAACAAAAGAAAAAAATGGATAATTTGTGTTTTAAAATAAACCACTAAGAAAGTAAGATGTCCCACAGAATGTGGGTAAATATTACAAATTATGTAATTTGATTAGACATTTCATTTTTATTTACAATTTAATATAAAAAGACAAATAGTCCAATTATAAAATGAGGAAAGGATCTGAATAAATATTTCCTGATAGAAGATGCATAATTTGGCAGCAAGCCCATGAAAAGGTATTTAATACCACAGCAACTAGGAAAATGAAAAGCAAAAGAATATTAAGGTACACTTTACACCCAGTAAGATGGCAAGAATTGACCCTCCCTGGTAGTGCAATGAGTTAGGATGCAGCACTGCAAGCTGGCTGCAGCCGCTTCAGTGCGAGTTCAATCCCCAGCCCCAGAGGTGATCCACATGGTACCGGAGACCTCTCCTGTCTAGCCCTCTGCTCCCCTCGGAAGTGTACTTCGTAGACCTGCCTATTCTGCTCCCCATCTGCCTGTGGTGAATCCTCTCACTGCCTCTGCAACTCTGGCCTGTACCCAGTCCTGTATGCATAAATAAGTAAATCTAAAACACAACAAAACAAACAACAACAACAAAGATGGCTAGAATTTAAAAAAACAGGTATTAACTGGTGTTGGAGAGGATGTGGAGAATTCAGAGCCCATTCACTGCCAGTGGGAAAGCAAAATGATGCAAGCACATTGGAAAACAGGCAGTCCCTTAAATGATTAAGCCTCATCACCACACAGCCCAGCAACTGAACTCAAGAGAATATACCCAAAAAAATAAAAAAGATAGCTCCTACAAAATGGTAACAAATACAGATAGCAGCACTTCTCACCATTGACAAAAGATACAAACAACCCAAAAGTCCATCAGTGGATAAATGGACAAGTGAAATGAGATAATAATAGA